AAGAGATGCTGGAGGAGGATTCCCTGTAACAGGATGATTGGCAGCTGTATTAACTGTAGGAAATTAGTTGTTTTATATGAAACTTTTGCTGCCAGGCTATGTTTTTTCTCCCAGAATGTAAACTGGTTCATTAATTTAAAAAAAGGAAACAGGTTCATTATGAAGAACTGGCTCATCTTAAAAGGTTTTGCCTGAAAAAGAAACTTATGAGCTCCTCCAAAACAATAGCAGCTGGCACTGAAGGTGGTCTTTTCTTCTTGGCGCTGTCCTCTCTGTCTTCTTTCTCTCGGTGAGCCACATGGAGAGAACAGTTACGTTTAAAGGAGAGATAAGAAAAGGAGCGTTAGCAGAGCTTGAACGTTGATCTGTTTTTCTTACAGGAAACACAGCTGAGTTCGGGAGATAAAGAAGCAGAAACAGGGATGACGTGGAGAGGGCAGTTTTAAAAAAACAAAAAAGTGGTGCCTACCCGAATGCACATGCAGCCATCTTCTTTTATCAGCAAATATTTTTTTGTTTTTGCAAATATTTTGTTTTTTAGAAATGCATATGCTTATAACTCTGGTGCTTAGCACATAGAAGTGCTTCACAAACTAGAATGTTTAGTGGTAGAAAGGAACCGCATTCATTTGAAATGTGGGGAAACCTTGCCCATCTCGAGCATCTCCTCTTTAACATGTTGCCCCCGTGTTTGCGTGGGTTCTCTAGCTTCCTGCCACAGTCCAAAGACATGCAATTAGTGGGGTTAGGTGTGAATGGTTGTCTATCTCTCTGTGTTAGCCCTGTGACAGACTGGCGGCCTGTCCTGGGTGTACCCTGCCTCTTGCCATAAGACAGCGGGGATAGGCTCCAGTCCCCCCGTGACCATGAAAAGGATAAGAGGATGGATGGCATATTAATCAAACGTATAATAACAGGTTTTCTTCTGGGCAGGATTTTCTGGAGTAGACCTGTTCAGTGGAAGGTGATCAACCCATTAGCTTAGTAACAGCTTTTTATCTTCTCTACAATAAGTTGTAATCCTGAGTTATTAGAGCGAAGAGTCTGGTGTAAGACAGCACCTGTTTCTTTTAGGTCTAGTGGACCTCCCCCATGGCATTTCATACTACGCCAAAATAAATAAGTATCAGAGTATCATTAAATATCAGAAAATTTGTGTTTTTTCCACTATGTACCATAAAAACGGATAATTTTCACAGTAACAAAAAGCAAAACAAAATACAGATTCTGCCAGTTAAAAAATGTCTGATTTGGGATTACGGGACAGTCTGCGCAATGTGCTAATAGAACTGTTTCTATAATTTTACACATTTATTTCTTCGAATTTAAGCCCAAATCAAATCAGCATTTCTTTATAGAAAAAAAGAGATGTATTTTTGAAATTGGACTCTTATATTAAAATATCAAAGTGATTAAATCTGTAGTTGAACATCAGTTTTCTGTCACGCTGAGGAACTCTGAATGTCTTTTCTCTTTGCTGGGAGCGGGCCAGTTAGCGTCTTTACCAGGGGGGGGCTATGTCTCCTTTTTCAGATTGCCGACACTTTGCTTTCAGAGACCCTGCCAGGGGCATTTGTCACCAGCAATACTGATCTTGGGATTACTCGAGCAAGTACACCCCATCACACCATGATAAGGGTGGAGAGGTATTTGAAACTAATGAAGTTGATTTTTGTTATTCTATTTAAAATGTATGTTTTGGTCTGCATAATATGGAACCTCAGGTTTAAAATCACTGAGGGAACAAGAAAAAAATCAATATAATATGATTAAACATCACCATCACAGTCAAACCTGTTCAGCCAGCAGCTCAGTTGTGTTAGCTCACCTGCCCCATCATGTAGGTCATAGTTTGCCCAGAGTGTGACAGCTGTGGAGCAGTAGGAGAAGTTTAACATGACAGGTGTGGGCGACAAGCCTCAAAGATTGAGTTACTTGGTCCTAGCTGGCAGGCGACAGTGTGCAGATCTCCCGTACCAACAGATCAGAGAGACATTAGCTACAGGCAATTTACAACAAAGTATCTGCTGCTTCTCGGGTCAGTGGAGCAGGAATAAACGCTTCTGGGTAAATATTTAGACAACAGGACTAAGAATAGAGGAGATTCCCACAAAGTCTGAAGAGGAGAGAAATGTTGGGCCTTCATTCACACCAGTTCCATCCTCTGTGGAAACAAGAGACACCATAACACTGATAACAGTTATGTAAGCGCTCACGTCAGATGGATGTTTCAGTGTCACGGAAACACCAGCCAGCTGAGTTCTTTGTGAGGACATACTGCTGTATATATAAATATATCCCAGCTCGCCCTGTGGACGGTCTTTATCCTTCAAGCTCGGATCCACCAGACCCAAGTCAACCAGAGGACTTGGACCTTGAGGGTCCTGCGCTGTATCGTTCCCAGGACTGCGCTCTTCCGGACAGATTCCTTGGATGACGTTTCTGGGATCTGCTGGAGCCAATAGCCCAGTTTGAGGGTCATTGCCCCGAGTGCTCAGATCAGACCATTTTTGCCATCACCCTCCACATCTCTCAAGCTCCTTTCTCAGTTCTTGGTACTTCTTGAACTTTTCACGTTCCTTCTTCCT